AGCTTAATGACTTCTCCCCTGCAGAGCTATTTAGAGCCAGGAGTGAGCCAACCTTGACTCCAATCAGTGTGATGATATTGGATGTGTTGCTGACAGCTGTCCTGCCCTTAAAAAACACACACCTGCTTTGGGTTTACTGGTTTCAAGAAGTACTGTCTGATGTGAGCCATGCCTCGCAGAAAAGAGCTCTCAGAAGACCTACGATCAATAATTGTTGACTTGCATGAAGCTGGAAAGGGTTACAAAAGTATCTCCAAAAGCCTTGATGTTCATGTGTCCCACGGTAAGACAGACTGTCTACAAATGGAGAAAGTTTAGCACTGTTGCTACTCTCCCTAGGCGTGGTCGTCCTGTAAAAATGACTGCAAGAGCACAGCGCAGAATGCTGCATGAGGTAAAGAAGAATCCCAGAGTGTCAGCTAAAGACCTACAGAAATCTCTGGGCACATGCTAACATTTTGTTGACACATCTACAATAAGGAAAACATTAAACAAGAATGGAGTACATGGGAGGACACCACGTAGGAAGCCATTGCTGTCCAAAAGGAATATTATAGCACGTTTGAAGTTTGCAAAAGAGCCCCTGGATGTTCCACAGCACTACTGGCAAAATATACTGTGGACAGATGAAACCAAGATTGAGTTGTTTGGGAAGAACACACAACACTATGTGTGGAGAAAAAAAAGGCACAGCACACCAACATCAAAACCTCATCCCCCGCTGTAAAACATGACGGAGGGAGCATCATGGTTTGGGGCTGCTTTGCTGCCTCAGGGCCTGGACGGATTGTTGTCATTAATGGGAAAATGAATTCCAGAGTTTATCAAGACATTTTGCAGGAAAACGTACGACCATCTGTCCGCCAACTGAAGCTCCGCAGAGGATGGGTGATGCAACAGGACAATGACCCAAAGCATACAAGTCATTCAACAAAACAATGGCTGCAACAGCACAGAATACGCCTTCTGGAGTGGCCCAGTCAGAGTCCTGACCTCAACCTGATTGCAATGCTGTGGCATGACCTTAAGAGAGCAATTCACACCAGACATCCCAAGAATATTGCCACACTGAAACAGTTTTGTGAAGAGGAGTGGTCCAAAATTACTCCAGATCGTTGTGCAGGTCTGATCTGCAACTACAGGAAACGTTTGGTTGAGGTTATTGCTGCCAAAGGAGGGTCAACTGTTATTAAGTCCAAAGGTTCACATACTTTTTCCTCCCTGCACTGTGAATGTTTACATATTATGTGCAAATTAAACCATGGCAACATCTAATGTTTGTGTAGTATTATGTTCAGCAGACTGTGTTCTTCTATTGTTGTGACTTAGATGACGTTCAGAGCACATTTTATGCCCAATTCATGCAAAACTCCACGTAATCCCAAGGGGTTCACATACTTTTTCTTGCAACTGTACAATCCCCGCTGACATCACCAACTGGGAGTTCCACATCCTTGCTGCTCTAACAGTAAAGAAGCCTGTACGCAGTTTAAGATTGAACAGCTTCTCGTTCAACTTCATTGTGTGGCTGTGTCTTCCTCTTTAGAGCCCTAAGATGAAATCGTTCCCTTCCCAATGCTAGAATCACCATTTAAAGATTTGTATATTGTGATCCTCTCCCTTTCTAAGTGTCTCTTCTTCCAGACAGGATACGTTTAATATTTGTAGTCATTCTTAATAAGAGGTCCTCCCTCATAACTGCGGTCCTCCATTCCCCATAACTGAGGTCCGCTATCCCCCATAACTGAGCTCCTCCATCCCCATAACTGAGGTCCTTCATCCTCCATAACTGAGGTCCTCCATTCCCAATACCAGGTCCTCCATCCCCTATAACTGAGGTCCTCCATCCCCTATAACTGAGGTCCTCCATTCCCCATAACTGAGGTCCTCCATTCCCAATAACTGAGGTCCTCCATTCCCAATAACTGCGGGTCCTCCATTCCCCATAACTGAGGTCCGCTATCCCCCATAAATGAGGCTCCTCCATCCCCATAACTGAGGTTCTTCATCCTCCATAACTGAGGTCCTCCTTTCCCAATATAAGGCCCTCCATCCGCTATAACTGAGGTCCTCCTTCCCCTATAACTGAGGTCCTCCATTCCCATAACTGAGGTCCTCCATTCCCAATAACTGAGGTCCTCCATTCCAATATAACTGAAGGTCCTCCATTCCCCATAACTGAGGTCCTCCATTCCCTATAACTGAGGTCCTCCATCCCCAATAACTGAGGTCCTCCATCCCCATAAACTGAGGTCCTTCATCCCCCATAACTGAGCTCCTCCTTTCCCCATATAACTGAGGTCCGCTATCCCCCCATAACTGAGCTCATTCATCCTCATAACTGAGGTCCTTCATCCTCCATAACTGAGGTCCTCCATTCCCAATACCAGGTCCTCCATCCCCTATAGCTGAGGTCCTCCATCCCCTATAACTGAGGTCCTCCATTCCCAAAAAACTGAGGTCCTCCATTCCCAATAACTGAAGTCCTCCATTCCCCATAACCAAGGTCCTCCATTCCCCATAACTGAGGTCCTCCATCCCCAATAACTGAGGTTCTCCTATAACATCCCTCATAACTGAGGTCCTCCATCTCCCATAACTGATGTCGTCTGTTCCAAATAACTGAAGTCCTCCATCCAACATAACTGAGGTCCTCCATTCCCCAAAACTGAAGTCCTCCATTACCCATAACTAAGCTCTTCCATCCCCCATAACTGAGCTCCTACATCCACCATTATTGAGGTCCTCCAGCCCCCAAAAAACTGAGGTCCTCCATCCCCCCATAACTGAGGTCCTTCATCCTCCATAACTGAGGTCCTCCATTCCCAATACCAGGTCCTCCATCTCCTATAACTGAGGTCCTCCATCCCCCATAACTGAGGTCCTCCATTCCCATAACAGGTCTTCCATCCCCTATAACTGAGGTCCTCCATTACCAATAACTGAGCTCCTCCATCCTTCAAAACTGAGCTCCTCCATTCCCCAAACCTAAGGTCCTCCATCCCCCATTACTGAGCTCCTGCAGCTCCCATAACTAACATCCTCCGACCCCCACAAACTGAGGTCCTCTAGCCCCCTATTAGTTTTGTTTCCCTTTTCTGGACTTTCTCCAGTTCCAGCACATCCTTCCTGAATACTGGTGACCAGAACTGGACAACATACCCAAAATGTGTCTGAACTAGAATTTTAGAGTAGAATTATAGTTTTATCTCTCAAGCGAAATACCCTTTTTAATGCAAGATAATAGTTTGCTGGCCTTGCTTGCTGCAGCCTGACATTGCATGCTATTGCTGTGTTCTGTGATCTACTTGGACCCTCAGATTCTTCTCCATCTTCGATTCCCTCGGTTCCCTTCGGTTCTCTCCCTAGCGTGTAAGTAACCTCATCTCCCATATAGCTTCCCTACCCCTTGATTTTATCGTGGTCTGCTTGTAACGTTTCTATATCCTGTTGTGGAGTTTTAGCCCTGCTTAGCTTTGTATCGATAGATTGAACTATTTTACCAACCTCTAAACAGAATTGGTCCCAGGACAGAGCCCTGGACACCCCGCTCACACCTCCGGACCATTCGGAAAATATGCCATTCATCACCCCCTCTGGACTCGCTCCTGGAACCCATTTTCTATTCAGGTACAGACAACATCATCAATGCCAAAAGACATTTGTAAGTTAGGCATTTATGGGGAACTGTATCAAATGTCTCAGTGAATCCACATCTACACAGGCCTTCCTCTGTCCAAATCACAGCTCGCCTCCTCATAGAATGTCCAAATACGTCGACAGCCAAAAAAAAGGTCTAAATCTGTATTATTTGTTGCCTTTAATAAATCACTGGCTTGTTAGAGTTAATAGACTAGTAAGTAGCATATTTCCAGTTACAAATGAAGAATCGTGATAGTCTGTAACTCCAGCTGTCCGCTCAGCATTGGCAGTAAAAACACAAATAAAAAGGAGAACGATCATTATAATAGTAGAGCAATGGACCAAAACCAGAACCAAAAAAAACATGAACCCACAATCTACACTATATTGCCAAAAGTATTGGGCCGCACGCCTTTCCACAACACACTTGACCTTTAATGGCCCCCCAGTCTTAGTCCGTAGGGTTCAATATTGACTTGGGGGAGGAGGCCTGCCGCAGTCTCCACTTTCCCCAAAGGTTTTGGTCAAGGTTCCTCCACCCCAAACTGGCTCCTCCATGTCTTTATGGACCTTGCTTTGTGCACTGGTGGGCAGTCATGTTGGAACAGGAAGGGGCCATCCCCAAACTCTTCCCACAAAGTTGGGAGCATGAAATTGTCCAAAATGTCACCTTAAGAGTTCCCTTCACTGGAACTCGGGGGTCAAGCCCAACCCCTGAAAAACAACCCCACACAATAAACCCCCCCTCCACCAAACTTTACACTTGGCATAATGCAGTCAGGCAAGTACTGTTCTCCTGGCAACACATCTCCTCTGCTCTAGAGTCCAGTGGCGGCGTGCTTTATGCCACACCATCCAACGCTTTGCATTGCACTTGGTGATGGAAGGCTTGGATGCAGCTGCTCGGCCATGGAAACCCATTCCATGAAGCTCTCTACGCACTGATGTTGGGCTCATCTGAAGGCCACACCAAGTTTGGAGGTCTTTAGCTATTGACTCTGCAGACAGTTGGCAACTTCTGCGCACTGTGCGCTTCAGCATGCGCTGACCCCGCTCTGTCATGTTACGTGGCCTACCACTTGGTACAAATGGAGAAACAGAAAAAGGGCGCACCGACCTAGTGCATTATCGTTTAAAATAATTTATTTATTAACACAGGCATGTCAAACTGAACAAGATGTATGATCCAAACAACATCTGAGTCCATACGATGGAACCCTGGATGACCAAATGGCTAACGCGTTTCGAGGACACAACCTCTTCCTCAGAGCCAACCTCTGTATCCAGTGTATTTGGACCACCCTGGTCTGTTGAGGGCAGCAAGCAGTGCATATTCCAGAAAATTCCAGAACATTCCTATTGGGTCTACTGAGTCCTTTCGCTTGGAGTCACTGAGCGCCTGAGAGCGACCCATTCTTTCACTAATATTTGTAGAAGCAGTCTGCATGCCTAGGGGCTTGATTGTATACACCTGTGTCCATGCAGGGGATTGGAACACCTGAATCACACGATATGGAGGGGATTGGAACACCTGAATCACATGATATGGAGGGGATTGGAACACCTGAATCACATGATTGGGAGGGGCATTGGAACACCTGAATCACATGACTGGGAGTGGATTGGAACACCTGAATCACATGATTGGGAGGGGATTGGAACACCTGAATCACATGATTTGGAGGGGATTGGAAAACATGAATCACATGACTGGGAGGGGATTGGAACACCTGAATCACATGCTATGGAGGGGATTGGAACACCTGAATCACATGAAATGGAGGGGATTGGAACACCTGAATCACATGATATGGAGGGGATTGGAACACCTGAATCACATGAAATGGAAGGGATTGGAAAACCTGAATCACATGACTGGGAGGGGATTGGAACACCTGAATCACATGATTGGGAGGGGATTGGAACACCTGAATCACATGATTGGAGAGGTGGGGACAATACTTTTGGCAGGCAGCACAGTGGCTAAATGGTTAGCACTTCCACCTGGCAGTACTAGGGTTGTTGGTTCGAATCCCAACCACGGCTCACCTGTGCCTGTGTGGGTTTCCTCTGTGTACTCCAGTTTCCTCCAGGTACTCCGATTTCCTTCCACACTCCAAAGACATGCTGGGAGGTTAATTGAAACCTGTCTACATTGCTCCTAGTATGTGTATGTATGAATGTGAGTTAGCGACCTTAGATTGTACGCTCCTCGGGGGCGGGGACTTAAGGGAAATGTACAATATATATGTAAAGTGCTGTGTAAATGATACAGGTAGCTGAAATAAATAAATAATGATATAGTGTACATCAAGTAGGTAGCTGCAAGTATAGCAATGGCGGTCTGGTCCCCAATGGACAGACAGTGGCCTCTATGGTGCAGCAAGCACAAGGAAATGAAGAGATACATACGGTGAGGTTTATCAGTGCAGTCATTATGTCTTCACCATGTCCTAATTCGAAGATTGACCTCCTGATTACTGTAATATCAGAGCTGTAGGTTATCGGGGGACTGCGAACTCTCTCCTGATGTTCATCGCTACAGACTAAGTGCAGCATGAAGATGAGCAATGACCTCACCGTACTCGCAGTGCGCTCTACGCGGAGACGAATGTTTGTGAGATCTGGGAACGGTGACACTAGACATTCGACATTTTGCATTGTTAAAAAGCCGCTGAGCACACAGTTTTCTATTTTATGTTTCTACGGTTCGATTCTCCTGAGCAGTGAGCACCGGCTCACTACAGATAATAAAGCACGAGGCAACTGAGTGAATCTGCAAAGATTTTAATATGTGACATTAAAAAGTAATGTGAAAATCAATGGACATCTTTGCTGGGTCACCCTAGTGGGGCAGCAGATGAGAGATAATAGCTGTCCATTACCGAGGTCTTAGCTCTCCTAGTGTTTGTTGGCAGACCAAAGACTTGCTCACATCCATTCAAAGTTTGCTTTTTGAATTTTATTTCCCATGTAATCGTTCTATAGAGCCCTCAGTCCTCATTTCCCATACAAGTCTACGTTTATGAAAGGATGATGCAGTCTATGTTTTTCTGGCTCAGTAAGACATTGCGGCAGGTTTTCTGCCTCGAAGAATGAGATTCCGTTATATCTAAAGTGAGACCTTATTTAATTCTGACCTTCACACAACACAGGACACCAAGGTCTAGAAGCATGAACAAAGACCTCCTCAATAAAACTCACACACGGCGTCTAGATAATTCCAAGGAAGGTTGGCAGAGAAAGCAAAGCTGACCTGGTGGCCTTATATTACAAATGGAGGAAACATGAAATTCTGGAGAATAAGGTTTCATTAGATAAGAATTGTAAAGAGGCGGAAAACTTACCCCAATTCCACTTCTCATAGGAAGCCTCATCCCCACTCAGACGAATCTCTCATACTGACCAAATACAGTGGGGCAAAAAAGTATTTAGTCCCCACCAATTGTCCAAGTTCTCCCACTTACAAAGATGAGAGAGGCCTGTAATTGGCATCATAGGGAGACCTCAACTATGAGAGACAAAATGAGAAAACAAATCCAGACAATCACATTGGCTGATCTGGAAAGAATTTATTTGCAAATTATGGTGGAAAATAAGTATTTGGTGAATATGAAAAGTTCATGTCAATACTTTGTTATATATCCTTTGTTGGCAATGACAGAGGTCAGACGTTTCCTGTAAGTCTTCACAAGGTTGGCACACACTGTTGCTGGTATGTTGGCCCATCCTCCATGCAGATCTCCTCTAGAGCAGTGATGTTTTGGGGCTGTCGTTGGGCAACACGGACTTTTAACTCCCTCCAAAGGTTTTCTATGGGGTTCAGATCTGGAGACTGGCTAGGCCACTCCAGGACCTTGAAATGCTTCTTAGGAAGCCACTCCTTCGTTGCCCGGGCGGTAATGTTTGGGATCATTGTCATGTTGGAAGACCCAGCCACGTGTCATCTTCAATGCCCTTGCTGATGGAAGGAGGTTTGTACTCAAAATCTCACGATACATGGCCCCATTCATTCTGTCCTGTACATGGATCAGTCGTCCTGGTCCCTTTGCGGAGAAACAGCCCCAAAGCATGATGTTGCCACCCCCATGCTTCACAGTAGGTATGGTGTTCTTTGGATGCAACTCAGCATTCTCTCTCCTCCAAACATGACGAGTTGTGTTTTCTACCAAACAGTTCTATTTTGGTTTCATCTGACCATATGACATTCTCCCAATCCTCTTCTGGATCATCCAAATGCTCTCTAGCAAACTTCAGACAGGCCCACACATGTACTGGCTTAAGCAGGGGGACACGTCTGGCACTGCAGGATCTGAGTCCCTGGCGGCGTAGTGTGTTACTGATGGTAGCCTTTGTTACGTTGGTCCCAGCTCTCTGCAGGTCATTCACTAGGTCCCCCCGTGTGGTCCTGGGATTTTTGCTCACCGTTCTTGTGATCATTTTGACCCCACAGGGTGAGATCTTGCGTGGAGCCCCAGATCGAGGGAGATTATCAGTGGTCTTGTATGTCTTCCATTTTCTAATTATTGCTCCCACAGTTGATTGGTTCACACCAAGCTGCTTGCCTATTGCAGATTCAGTCTTCCCAGCCTGGTGCAGGTCTACAATTTTGTTTCTGGTGTCCTTCGACAGCTCTTTGGTCTTCACCATAGTGGAGTTTGGAGTGTGACTGTTTGAGGTTGTGGACAGGTGTCTTTTATACTGATAAGAAGTTCAAACAGGTGCCATTGATACAGGTAATGAGTGCAGGAGGAGGAGCCTCTTAAAGAAGAAGGTACAGGTCTGTGAGAGCCAGAAATCTCGCTTGTTTGTAGGTGACCAAATACTTATTTTCCACCATAATTTGCAAATAAATTCTTTCCAGATCAGCCAATGAGATTGTCTGGATTTGTTTTCTCATTTTGTCTCTCATAGTTGAGGTCTCCCTATGATGCCAATTACAGGCCTCTCTCATCTCTGGAAGTGGGAGAACTTGCACCATTGGTGGGGACTAAATACTTTTTTGCCCCACTGTATTCAGCCGTATTGCCAACCGAAGGATCGAACGTTCTCCGTCTTCACCTGAGTGGCACAGCTTGGCTTAAGGAAAGTTATTATTCTCTTCCATGGTCTGGGAGGTGTCAGGCCGGTCTCAGAAATCCTTCAAAAAGCAACAGACTTCCAAGCAGTAGAACTGAATAAACCGCCAAAGAGAGCATAATATGAAAAGTCCAATCTCAGCCAACTGGGTAATGTTATCAAAAGTCTAGAAACATTCCAAGTCCATAAATGGTGTCACACACCCACAAGACTGAAAGAAGTGAAGGACACCAATGTGGTGCCACTGCCTAGCCTTTCCGTGTTGGTGTGGGAGAAAGTTGTTATCCAACCAAAAATATTGACGCCCAGGTGTAAGTCTAGGCTTGCTGTTCTGTACGTGGGGTAGGCTTGACAAAAGGGGAAAACCCAGCCCTGAAATGTTCTGCCACGCTCCCCACATAGCGAATTCTATCATCCACAGTGTAACTTGGTGAGAACACTGTTTGGCAGTCTCCAGCTCCCCCCCCCCAGGACTCCATACACAACGGTTTTTTCTACATACCATCTCACCTGCTGGACAACCTTTATGTGATACTGTTTTATCTGTTTCATAGTTAGCCTGGTTGAAAAAAGTACATCTAGTTCCCCACCTCCATCAATGAGTCTTCCCTCCCCACCTCCATCAATGAGCCTTCCCTCTCTACCTTCATCAATGAGCCTTCCCTCTCCACCTTCATCAATGAGCCTTCCATCCCTACCTCTATCAATGAGCCTTCCCTCCCTACCTCCATCAATGAGCCTTCCCTCCCTACCTCTATCAATGAGCCTTCCCTCCCCACCTCCATCAATGAGCCTTCCATCCCTACCTCTATCAATGAGCCTTCCCTCCCCAACTCCATCACTGAACCTTCCCTCCCCAACTCCATCACTGAGCCTTCCCTCCCCACCTCCATCAATGAGCCTTCCCTCCCCACCTCCATCAATGAACATTCCCTCCCCACCTCCACCAATGAGCCTTCCTTCCCTACCTCCCCCAAATGTGCCTTCCCACCCCTCCCCCACCTCCATCAATGAGCCTTCCCTCCCCACCTACATCAATGATGCCTTTTCTCCCCACCTCCATCAATGAGCCTTGGCCACCCATGACCCTGCCACTGTTTTCTCTGGTTCTCCTTTCTTGGACCACTTTTGGTTGGTCCTGACCACTGCAGACCGGGAACATCCCAAAATAACTGCAGTTTTGGAGTTGCTCTGACCCAGTAATCTAGACATTACTATTTGGTCCTTATCATAGTCCACGGGTGTCAAACTGGCAGCCCTCCAGCTGTTGCCAAACTACAAGTCCCATGAGGCATTGCAAGATTGACACTTACAAGCATGACTCCCAAAGGCAGAAGCATGATGGGACTTGTAGTTTTGCAACAGCTGGAGGGCCGCCAGTTTGACACCCCTGTCATAGTCCCTCCATTCTTCACACCTGATTTTTTTTTCTGCTTTCAACACATCAACTTCAGGGGCAACATGTTCACTTGCTGCCTAATACAGGCAGGAACAGAAGTATGTGAACCCCCTGCGATTTTGCAAGTTCTCCCACTTCTCCATCATGGAGGGTCTGACATTCACATTGGAGGACATTCCCACTCTGAGGACAGAATTCAGGAGATCACATTGCAGGGGATTCCCACTCTGAGGACAGAATTCAGGAGATCACATTGTATGATTTGTAAAGAATGTATTTGTCTCGCACGGCTGAACAGAAGTATTTGAACCCCTGAGAAGCAGCAAGAATTCTGGCTCCCAGAGACCTGTTACTGCCCCTTTATAAAGTCCCCCTCTACTCCACTCATTCATCTCACTTAGTAGCACCTGTCTGAGCTCTTTATAGACACCTGTCCACCCCACAGTCAGTCAGATGCCAACTACTACCATGGGTAAGACCAAAGAGCTGTCA